TATCAAAAGGAGCCCTGTGCTAACTTATTTTCTAAATTGTTAATACGTTTTCAGTTGTTATCATTTAATGATGCACTAGAGTACATAACATCTATCCATGAAAAAGTTAAATAACACAATTGTACAAATTAGTGCAAAGTTTTGTAGGCCTTCGTACTAATTTGTGCAATTCACTTACGAATTTTTTCACACATATTTATTGCATGCACTCCGTTGACTGTAATATGTAAATTTTGTCATATTTTGGTCGAACGTGACCATAAATAGTCCAATAACTGGAGTATATTATCGTACGTAATTTTCATTATTATAGATATTTTGTATCAATCACGTAATACTTTATTCTTAACCAATCTTTCGGAGATACAAAACATCTATAATAGTGCAATAACTGTTTCCTTACTAATGTATTTAACTCAGCCACACCTGCCCCCTACCTTAGCCACTAGAAATAGAAAGGTATATGATTCATCGTTATGAATCTCCACATTATCTTGTTTGAAATCTTGTAACTAGTTAGCTAGTGCTACACGTGAATGGTAGGATGTAAAGCTGCTTTAATAGTTAGCGACGGTCGCTTGGAACATATTGGTCATATATCATCGGCATCTGTTCGTTTACGAGTACTTCAACTCACCTTCATTTTWATCAAACTCTTCAACAACCTCCAGGCTAACACAATCATATCACAATACGCCAAGTCACAGGTCAACTTAAATTACACTCTGGCGAGCTTTTCAGAAGGAACAAAACTGAGAGATATTATAAGAGATAAATGCCTCTGATCAAAATTCTAGAGCCCCCCAGACCAGAGACGAAGCAAAACGACCCTAGATTTCCCTTTCCCTCTAGGTTACCTGTCTTATTGCCTGACATGTAGACATAATGCATGCATCTAGTTCTTTGATAAATATATTAACTAATGGTTCGGTTGAATAACAGGTATATTTGAACATGTATTCTGGGATCGGTTAGATAAACTTTTTCTTGATAAAAAATGGAATGTTCCAAAACTTTTTGTTAGTTTTTTTTTTTTTTTTGACATCAATTAATAGAATGTGTTTTATTATTTCACACTATAAAACCTTCATCAAATACCAATTAAACAAAACAATTTAAGCCACTAGTTTTTATTTAATGAACAGTCTTCAACTGTTGCTTTCAATATGATCCCAGCAACATCATATTCTCACGCGTTTATTGTTCAGAATCAATCTGAATGAGCAATTCCTTTTAACTCAGTAAGAAAACAGGAAGTCCTGAAAGGTTTTAGCGCATTGTTCTTAAAGAAAACTGTCTTGGACAGCTGTACTGCCAAACTGAAGCTTTACGAATTGAATTGACTCATGCAGGTTGATGTGCCTTTTTGTCCATGAATAGCGACGTTAAATTCCCAGTAATTTTTTAAATCTAAATTGTGCTTTGTCTCTTTATGCGCACCGTAAGCATTAGAATAAAACATTTGGCCTTGAGGAAATGAAAGCAGTGGTTGCTGGATGTTCAATTGACAAAAAGATTTCTCCTCCAGCAACCGTATTCAGCTTAGGGCAGCTGCCAGAGTTTGATGAGAACTTTATATTTTGTCAATAATAAGTGCGAAATACAATGTCGAAGGTTTTAACCCAATGAAAGCTATACAACCTAACTCTTTGAATTTGTGGCTGATTTCATTGAAAGAAATCCTTGAATGAGAGAGAATGTAACTCAGTAGCTTATTAACTTTTAATAAAACAGTAGTTGTTATATATAAGGTTATTTGCTGCTTCAGTTCATTAACGGTTGCAGTTTCATTTTTTTGCAAGCGTCTTTTACGTTATTTTATTTTTCAATCAGCAGAATTCACAAAAGACGCCTTATCGCAAAAACACAATCACAAAATATATTTTCGATTGCGTTTGTCTCTTCAATAAATTAAGGAAGTTCTCTCCACATGAAAAGTTGAAAACATAACAACACAATAAATTTCATTCATTTTCATACCGTCTTGTAGGTAGCTGATATGATTATAGACGAACAAGATCACATAGAAAAAATATTTTGGGCAAAACTGATCGATAACCGATATCTATAATAACAAGCTAGTTATTATATAGTTTGAAGTTTACGACTACTTAAAGGCTCTTTGACCGAGCTTGATCTCTCATGAGATAAACCTTAAATAATAAGCCTAAAAATACTATACGCTTTTATCTTTTTTATTCTACTTTATGAACATTGTACAGACTGAATGTACCTAACTCTTAATAAAGGATTCAAGAATCAAATCGCAAAGTCTAAATACATGAGATTTTGAGAGCAATATCCAGTGGTTTAGGAATTTCTCGCTGAATATTTTCGTATGATAATTGATCTTATTGAAAGTAACAGTCAGCTTTGGGATAAAAAAAGCGAAAATGACAAAAATACTATTTTAGAAACAAAAGGTTTATTTGAACAATTGTCATCTTATGGAAGTCACTGTCCAATCAGAATGCTCGAATCACCAGATGTTTTTATCTTAATGGCAAAAGAATAATATAATTCTCTCGCGCGCTCTTACTGGTGCCATATGTGATCAAGTACAGCTTTCCCACCAAACACGGCTACAAAACGTGCTCACGAGTCAAAGAAACACCAGTTAACACTAAAGAGTTGAACGACTACTTACAAGTAACCTTCAGGAAATCTTCATCTATTAGACTTGATCTAGTTAACGTTCTGCGAATCGTCGTTTCACATAAGGATTTTTCCATAACTTGTTTKATCTAAATGTGTATTTCTTGATCCTTTGTTACTAGAGAATTTGCCGCACTGGTTTTGAATACATTACCAGTTTCCAAATCTTGATTTTTTGCTTSAGCTGAAAGTGTGAAATTTCAAATCAATTGAAGACAACGTATACACGGATTATCGCCAACTTGTGGTCCAAGAACTGCTTTAACACAGATAACAAGTTTGTGGCTCTATCAGAGAAAATAGGTCAGCTATCTTGGATACTTGATGTGCTTGAAAGAATCTCTCGCAAATTGAAGAAGGCAGTATATTTGTATGAAATACTCATAACGACGTGGTGTGTAAACTTTTGGGCATTTCTTAATGATGGCCTTTCAGTTGGGGAATACAACACGTTTAAGACATATGAATTATCCCGAAAAGAGAACACAGTGGAACCAAACAGAAACATCCTCACCAGTGCCGTTACACAAAAACCCACAGTTTACTCTAGATGGGAATGAAGAGAACGTACTTATGAGTCAAGGGCAAACAGAAAAGGGAAATCACTTGGTTACAAATCAAAGGAATGAGATCTTGTCACCAAGTATGGTACCTGGTAACTACCGAAACGAAAATACCAGCACCAGCACTAAAAATATTACTAACAATATATCGATACAAACRAACTTTTCAAGTCATCACTTAATTSCACGAAATCTATCCACCGCTTCACAACAGAGTGTCACAATAGAATGGGACGTGCTTGAATCTTTTTCAGAGTTCGCAGCGTTTCTTGAGCTACAAAATCCTATATGCCCTGCAGAACATGTAGATACGCCGGAAAAGTTGATGAACGTTTTAGCTTGGGATTTATGCGTGTAGCTAGTGGCGTGAATTAGAAGACTTGGATGATCATGCGATTCATTGATAGGCRATAAATGGTGTATAGTTTGAGCTAAATATTGCTTGCTTGTGTCTTTATTGCGTACGTAAAAGAAAAATGAATTGTTCATTGTAATGATTTATACATGGGCCAATGAAAACAGTATCTAACTGGGTATTCATTGTAATAACAAACGGTYAAAACAATCAAAAAGTGTGATATTTAAGAGATTCATCTTGGGTGTCACTATTTCTACTCTTTTAATGTCTGTTATAAAAAAGGTTTTACGAACAAAAATAATGCAAGGTTCAAACGAATAAACGATTTTTAAGGCAAATGCTTGTTTTCATGGTAATATKTTTAGAGCCGTCATGGAAAGTAAACTTCATTAAATATTAAATGCAGCCTCGTGTATGTTAATGATTTAGCATGATAATATAACATTCACTCATAACTACATAACAAATACATATATGATGAATCTAAAACATATGATTTTCCATACATAAAGGTCTATATATTGAACTCATATAAAGTGAACAAAATTTAAAGCTTTTAGGTCTCATTTACGGCGCTTTTATCTGGTTTTATTAAGAGCGAATATGTTATAGTATTGACGGACCATATCAAAGCGATTATACCGAAGAAACATCATTAGTTGGCAACTCTCTACCGAGGAATCAGTTAATTGCATTGAATTCAAAACACTTTGTTGAGCAGAAAGGTTTTATCATTCCATACTAAATATCGGCGACCAGGAATYTTTTAATGTGAGCATTTTTTCTTAATTTTTCTTGAGTCTTTTTTTCCCAAAGTAAGTCTGTTTAATGATTACTGAGGAGAGAACTGTGCAGTTAGTTTGTTGGCTAACCGACGATGCCACCTGTATGAGTTGATGTTGACAAAAGCATTCAGAAATGTTCATGCAACATCCGCAAAGGAAAACACTAAACGTGACAAAGGGACATTTGGATTTCATTCACTGCATTTATTTTTTGCTCATATCTCTTTAATCTATGACTTTTGGCCGTAAAATTAGTTCTTTGATATAACCGGAAGAATTGTGTCACTTCCGCAAACCTTCTTTTTACTTTTCCAATGCAAAGACAATAATATTTATTTAGCTTTCTAATCCTTACTAATGTTCAACTAACAAAAAGCCACACGTCTCAATCAGATTTTTTTTTCTTTTTTTTGCATAAAAACTAAATAATAAAATTTATTCTGTTCTATAACCCAATCTAAAATTAGGCAGACAATATTGGATGTTAGATCATATCACGCGACTCCCAGAAGCTTCAAAATATTTTCTATTCCGCTCAATGGTGCTAAAACGCTTGCTTATTTGAATATACCAATATGAATATGCTAACTGAATCAAAGTCGATAATAAGCTAGAGTATTATGGCGTTTAACTTTCCTAAAAGCCAGCGTAAACGATGTTATATTGTCTTTGACTTACTAGTAACTAAGTTGGAATACAAAAGCGAGCACGGAGTAAACATTAAGTCAGGCAGTTTGACAAAAACAARAATGCGTCAATATATTAACTTAAAGAACATCGAATGAGTTATGCGGAAAGGTGGGGGGAGGGGGAGGACAACAATGAAAAGGCAAAACTCAATGCACTGGACTATGGTGATGCTCGAAATATTATTTCAAAATTAAAACCACAAATCTTCAAATACATTTTCATAGCGATTTATCTCAGATGATATCAGTCTAATGGKTTTAGGTAATTGCATGATATAAAACTAGATAGCACCAAAAACACATTCTAGCTAGCTATCTAATTCCTGTCGAGCAAAAGATAGATTCTAAGACTTAATGATAAGAATTCAATTCGATTTTCAGTCATCTTCTATCCTTAATTCTGGATGTATGACTGAATTATCCAGTAGAACGTGCATGTATAACCCATGATATCAGCATGTCGCCAGACGCTTCTATAAATCATGTGAGGAAAATTTCTGAATACCCTGGAGCTGTTTTATCACAGCAATTATAACAAACGTTTTGTCTTTGAATGAATTCATGTTTCTTCAGGTTTTCTTTCTGTTCATGAATATAACGTGCGCCTGTTTTGAAGTCACTAATGTCAAGGATGGGTCTGTATTATTTATTTATTTATTTATTTATTTTTACTCAGACTTTAAATTCAAAGTAGTGTATCTTTTATTGTCGATACATGCACAAAAAAAAACGCCTTATCTTGAAGGTTTGCACAGTGGTGCCCTAAACACTTTGTATGTCGCAAGGGTTTGAAAAGACGGATTTTCTGATTTGCTTGTTTGTTTTTTGTTTTAGATTTTAAAACTGACAATAATAGCGATATCGCGCAAAGAATTGAATCCATTTGTCTTCCGTCTCTAACCATTCCTTATAATATCATCTTTACCCCTATCAAATTGATCCTTGAGAATACTTAATGATTGGAACAGATAGGAAGAAAAACTAAATGTGACAAAGCTCACTCTCAGCTGTTGTTTGAACAGGTTTGAGTAGCGGAAAGTTCCAARGATCAATTTGAACAATTACTTCTCGCAAAACTTTGTTCAGAGTGTGTGGATATTCCCAGCGTTGTTACCTAGGCATAAGGAATATCTCTTAAATATTCTTCATCAAAAAAGGTTAATTTCGCTGAAGTATGCGAATGAGAAATGTCAATATTGCTCGGGGCTGAATACATATGACAGTTATTTTTCTAAAAATATTTTTTAGAAGAAATTCATTTGTCTGAGTAGCTGAGTTGAGCGCTGTAAAGGCCAATTTACACGGTACGGCTTACAAATGTTTCGATTACATGCTTCTGYCCCAAGTTTTAATTTAGCACGGACGTCGATTGTTACACGAAGCAGTTCGAAGCAGCGTGTTGTGTGCGACAGTTAGGTGAAAATATTGTATCGTGTAAATATAGKCTTTAAAATATTCACGGTTCAAGTGGCTGAAAAATAACCACGGACCCCTCGTACTGATTTGTTTAAGGTTTTTCATCAAGTCCGTCCTTGACCTGTTTCTTCTGCAAAATCTCTTCCTACTCAGTATGATCTAGTGCTTTCTGAAATTTTTACTTGGTTATACAAAACTGTTTCAGTGGAAGCCATAGTTTTAAATTGATCCCGTCACTTTAGTTTAAAAATTAGAAAAGTAGAAAAACTAGTAAAACTCTGAATATACACTTATTTCAATAAAGTTAGTCACCAAAAATCTTAGAAAGCTGAGATCACTGAGGATCATGGAAATTTCTTAACATMAAACAAGTAAAGCTTTTGATACGATTTGCAGCTTTAGGATGCTCAGGAGAGGTGAGACTGTAACTGGTAAAAGATCTAAAATCCCTCAATAGTTATTAAGGTGGCTGGACCCCCTCACGCTTGACCACTACCTTCCACTTTTGGAACGCTGGTGCATAAACGTGTTTTATCCGATTGCAAAT